CCTAGGGTAAGTCCAATCAGGTTTGTGCGAGAGTCTAAGCGGTCGGTTAGGTAGAAATATACCTTGTGTTAAGTCCAATCAGGTCTAGTCTAGAGTGTATTAGATCCGTTTAGGTAAGGTGTACCTAGGGTGAAGTCCGGTTAGGTTTGGGTTAGAGTCCGTTAGATCGGTTTAGGTTAAGTACCTAGGTTAAGTCCCGTTAGGTTGTGTTCTCTTAGTCTAGAAGGTCTGATTAGGTATAGACGTACCTAGGTTTAGGACCGATAGACTAGGGTTAGAGCGTGTTTAAGCACGGCTAGGTAGAAATATACCTAGGGTTAAGTCCTCTAGGGTTCGGTCTCATCCCTCGTGTCATGTTACATCACTTCTAGGGTCCGGTAAGTCACTTCCGGGTTGAGTCGGTTTTAGACTCAGGTTTTATTGTCTTAGGATGATGGAATTAGATATTCTAGCTCGGTATACCTCGAAAGGGGGTATGGGGGAAGGACTAGGGGTCTCGGGCAAACCCGAGAAATCGGGTTGCAGGAGAAAGCCAAGGACCAGGTGGAGTGAGTTGTTCCGCGGGTAGGTAGGGACACTACAAGAAGGTGTTGTAGGTCCCAGATGACGAGGTAGGGAGAGTCCGAGGTAGAAGGACGTGTTGACCTCGGAGGAGTAACCGAAGATGCTTCGGTTCTCGGTTGTACGTCAGGAGGTGAGGTCTCCACATTTAGGTGGAGCTTCCTCGGGTAGGATGCTCAGGAGATGGTGTGAGCAGGGAGGTGTCGAGTTTTTCAACGGGTAGAGTCGGTGTAGGTTGGAGCGCTAGGACACTCCCTCTCGAGGTGGAGCACGTGCACTCACGTGTCTCATTCTCGGTGGAGCATTCTTAGAGGACTAGGAGCGTCTTCACGGGACAAAACCGTGAGACAATCTTAGTTGACAGGTTAGGGTCCGAGGGTAGAAGTCGTATACCTATAGGTAGTGTAGACTTCACGGGGATCCAGGCTAGGTATCTAGCGGGTTCGGTGGTATGACTCAGGTTAGTCTCGGGGAAGTCGGGATAGACTTAGGAGACGGGTAGATGTCGGGTATAATCAACGCCCGTCAAGTCCATGACGGTGATGGTTGAGTCCACAACCATCCACAAACACAATCACGCTTAACTCGTACGCACGAGCAAGCTACACACATGGCACACAACGTGCAACATCCCCATAGTACAACCATACGTTTCATACAACCGAGGGTAGCGTTTGTCGGTCGGGCGACGCGGGATAGGACTACGGTTCGAGTCTTATCGGGGTGAACGTTCTAACACGTTTACCAAGTGTTTCAGGTAAAGATGAGCTGATCGGTGGCGGGATAAGGCAACGAGGCCACGAGGAGTCATCGACGGGAGCTTCATCAAGTCAAAGGCAGCGACATGCGACTAACTCCGACATCAGGTAAGTGAGGTAAGTCAGGTAAGTTTGCTTTAAATTCCGACGAAAGTCGAGGGAACGACGAAAGTCGATCGGTGCTGGAAACGGCGAACCACTAGTGTTTATTGTTTTTATTTCCGGTTCTCTTTCTCCATCAAGGTGGAGATTGTTGGGCCTTAAGGCCCGTTGGCGGAAGAAAGTGAACTTTCCCTTTGGGAATGAGGTTTCGGGTTTTAACCCGAAACGCAGCGTTTCTCGATAAGGGTAATTGAAACCCTAAATGAGTTCGTAACTTCGACGCTGAGAACGGCGCGGTACTCGAGGTGGAGAGAAGAAAGGCGATCGCAGAGGCGATCGTGAGGAAGAGAGGAAGGTCGCGACGGAGGAAGAGTTTCCCGGTGATGGAGAAGCTTGGACCGGTGGCAGTCACCAAAGGTGAGTTGCGGAGTAGGTCGGTAAGTGTCTCATATCCTGTCTCTTGGTGTTTCTCGGTGAGCCTCCGACCTTGTGTGGAGAGCCACCGCGTGTTTTCCCTTCTCCGTTGTTTCCGCTCTGTTCTAATGGATTCGCCGGCACGTCCGACCGAGATGTAGGCCCGAGCTCCGCTCGGTAACCGAACTCGTTAAAACTCCGACTGTCTTCTTCCTCACACGTACGAGCGTCGGAGAGAACCGTGAGGGTCGATACACACTTCACAGATTAATCTTAGTTATCGTTAAAGGAAAATACACATAAAATGCCTCTTTCTTTTTTTCCCCCACGAAAATAGCCCTTTGTTTATTCCTTGAATTTTCATTATGACACATTATACATAGGTCGTCGCATACTTACATTAAAAAGATAATTAGGCTAACTTTATATAATATATTATGGTCTCCATATTATAACAAGGCTTGCTTGGGTGGCAAGAAAACTACGAGACGGAGAGATAAGTCTCAAGATTCGCTCAAGTTATTGGTCTCCGGTAAAACCAGCAGGGAGTCTCACCTCATGAACCTGCACCGTAATAGAAACTATAAGACCAGATGAATATCGAATCCTAGACCTAATATTTAGAGTGTTGGGGAACTTGGGGTTTGTATTAGGGCAGGGCAAAATGCCCGAAAATTGGGTATCCGATTGATTCTTGAATTGAGATCGGGTTTAAATTTTAGAAAAACTCAAAATTTGGTTTTGGGTTCGGGTATTAAAGTTCGGGTCGGGTATTACCTGTGGGTATTCGAAAATAATAAATTTATATTTTTATCCTATTTTTTTTACATCATTTACTCTACTCTCCCTCCTCTACTCACGGCGCCATTCTTCTGTCCACACTTCCCTGTCTCTCTCTCTCGTGGTGATTTTCGGGTTGGATTTGGGTTTGGAAAACAAAAAAATCTCAGATACCCGACTCATGCTCACTCCTAGTCTGTATATACCTTTTATGATAACATGGCTTGTAATCGGGTATGGGGATTTTGCCCGACTCGATGTGAATGATATCCCACACAAGGATATCATAGTGTGCCTTCACTTCTTCGGCGGTTTTGCCACCAACAGCTCTCGCCACCTTCTGCCACCGGTCAGGCGTCTCTTCTTCGAACACTGCAAGCGCTTTCTCGAACATCTTGTTCTGCTTTGCTGTCCAGATCGAGCTCGAGCTACGGGAAGTAGTTAGGGAGGTTGAGGCCATCAAAACCAAAAGCTACAAAAATTATATGAGGAGTTGGATTGAAGAGTGCCAAAACTTTGCTCTTATTTAAAACCCTATGAAAAAGGCAACTAAAGATTCCACGCATAGACGTTACATGATGTCATCGTAGAGATTGCATTGATGAAGAATCTTTCCTCCTTTACCCATTGGATTTCAAAGATCTTATGAAACAAAGATTCTCCATGGCATATCCTGTCTCCTCTTTAGTTAGACAAGAAGAATTTCGTAGTTTCTAGATTGAGCAAGGGTGTTTTTTTGGTTAAGGCGTAAATATATTAATAAGAACAACACATATAGAGTAGTTCAGACATTGCAAGTCAACTATTATGTGTTTGGTTTTTCCACATCTTTTAAAGCTTGCGCTTTTTTTTGTTCATTTTGCTACTAGCCTTCCATTGTAAATCTATATCCACTAAACAGTGGAAGGCACATAATACAACCTTTAACAAAAAAAAAATAAGACTTTAACAAACATATCATGAAAATGCTACATTTTCTTCATGTAACACCTCTTTAAAAAAAAACAGATAATGGCACATAATACCTTTTGAAATATTCTTTTCATAATACCCTTATATCATTAATTGAATGGTATCGTATAAACATATACGAGTCAACGAGAAGAAATATATAAATTTGTGTGTAATTTCTCTCTATTATTGTAATCGAAATCTATAATTTATATTTAAATTATATATATATATATATATATATAATTTTATACGGTGCGACAATGTCACCGGTGTGACATGTGCGACTAGTTTAGAATTTTGTATAGTGTGATCAATCCAGAGTTTTATATGGTGCGACAAGTATTACTCGTGTATGACTAGTACAAATATTTTTTACTGTGTGATTCATGAGTACTGTGATATCCCAAGTTATGGTGAGGGTTGAGAGTGTCCGTCGGTATAAATGACACGGTTAAGGAACGGCTCCCCGAGTGTCATTAAGATCAAAATGATATAGGAATGAATCGAGCACACCATAATAAGAGAGATCCGATGTTGTATATGTATTGGACTATATGGTCTAAAATAACATAAAAGAATCAGTTGGGTTATTTATAGTAACAAGGTGCACCTACCTTTTCGGTTGACTATCTTGAGAGAACTCTAAAATTAACCATGCTGACTCTGAAACAATTTAAAGATGGGTGACCTATTGAAAAATATCTCGATATACGTGCGAGTGAGGATAAAGCACGCTCTAAGGTCTCGTGTTGATGTGTGAGGGCAGTTAATTTCGACGTTCTTAGCGATCGTGGGTCATTGCATGTATGACCAATCTAAAATTTTGTACGGTGGGATCATCATCGTGAGTCGTGTATGATCGGTCTAAAATTTTGTACATTGTGACAAATGTGATTAGCATAGAATTTTATATAATGTGACTAATGTGATCAGTGTAAGTGTATGACCCGTATGATCTTAATTATAACCTATGTGACTAATATGATTAATATAACTAACATGGTATCTGATCATTGGGACCAGTATGTTCTGACTTGTGCTTACGTTAGAAATTTTTTAATGTTTTTGCAAAAAAAACACTCTGACCAGTAGGTTCACTGAGTTTGGCGGTGCGGTTCCGAACAGTAAATGTTTTTATAGAGCAACCGATAGTAACAACTCAAACTGTTTTGGTAACTCCCTAAAAATTGTATAATGACAGTTTGGAGTGAAATTAATCCAACAAATATATTACAGCCAATCTATCCGAAAATATTCCGATCAATCTCCTCTTACCCTTTTTATTTTTTGGTCCTTTTTATTTTTTGGTACAGTTTCATCTTGTGAGTTCGAATTCGGGTGAGGAGACTTTGTCCCTTGTCATCTTACCATTCGCCACCCCACGTTTCATTCTCTTACCTTTTCTGGCTCGGACCAGCCCGAACCGGTGAGCCAGCTCATTTTTGGCTCAACCCGTTCGGCCCATTTTTTTACGAGTTAGAAAAACTCTAACCCAGACCAAATTGTCCGAGTTCCGAGCCGGCTCGCGAGCTAGCCTGTTTTTATGTAATTATCCGAAATTTTTTTAAAATTATATGAAAATTAATAATTTAAAGAATACAAAACAATATTTCGAAGTCATTCAACATAACATAAAATATTTAACATAACAATTTATAAAACTATATCTAAATCAAGAAAAATTAACAAAACCAAACCAACATAAAAAGTGTAATACACCAGCAACATCAAAATATAACAAAAAATATACACTCAACATCAACATAAAAAATGTCATACACCAACAACATCAAAATATGACAAAAAATATACACCAACATCAACATATCATAAATTTTAATTTGTTATATATACTGAAGAAGTGAAAAAATTAAAGAATAAAACCCTAATATTTTTTTAATGTCAGTTCGCGAGCCGACCGAGCTAGCCCGGATGGACTCGGACTCGTCGCGAGCTGACTCGTTCGTCCCGTTTTTATTTGGTCTTTTATTGTTGCAGCCCACCTCGATAAAAAACGAGCCAACCGCGAACCAGCTCGCGAGCCGGGCTCATTTTTCCATCACTAATTTCTAGATCTTGTGATCGTTATACTCTATGGATTGATGTTTATTCAACCTCACACACGTCCTATATTGCAAAAATCATTATTAAGTACTAATTAACCACTATTGTAAAGTCATTTTTATTCGATTTAAATTGGCGGTATTTCAAGGGACTGAACCATATAGCTCTCAAGATCATATATTCTGATTTTTGGTGATAATGTGATTTTTTCTTTCTCTTGTCGATGGATTAAAAAATTAAAAGAAAAACAAACAAAGAGAGAGCGATATCGTGTTTCTTGGCTGATGAAATATTCCGACATGAAGATAAGAAGGAAGTGAGGGCACCTTATCAAGTTTCTGTTTCAGCATTCTTTTGTAAAATCTTGAAAGTATATGCTTTTTTTTTCGTCTCTTTTGACTTTGGTTGGGTGTACTTCTACATCAATTGGAATCTATTAAGAGAGAGATTAAGAGTTGTTCAGAAATGCAAGAATTTATTATTCACCTTGGAAAGTTCACGGTTTCAAACCATGACTTAAACTATGTGCGTCTGTAAGTACCTTTACCGTAAAAATAAAAGTATCCGAACTTTATAAAATATATTGAATTTTAATTTGACAAATAAAATTGTTGTATATTTTAGAATAATGAACGGAAATTTAGAATCTCTCAAAAGGATTCATGTTTCACGTGTATTATAAATATGGTAGAGTGTTGAGATATATGAAGAATATTATGAGAGATATCATATCATAAAGATATTTTAAAATCTGAAAAATAGAGATTTTGAGAGATTTATGAATATTTGATGTAATCTCTACTTTATTTATTTAATTTGACACTCACATGTATTTATAATTTATTTGATTATTAATAAAAGGTAACATCATTCCGCAAATTTCTACATGGTATCAGAGACTGATTATTTTTCTAGTTTGTTGATCTTTTCATTAAAAAAATGATGGTTGACAATGAGAGTGAAGATGAATATGACGATGATATATCATTTCAAGTTTTTTTTTTATTAAGAATAAAATAGTTATTTTGTTTGTTTCTTTTTTATTTTCTCTCATAATCCCACATATTTCTAAAGATTATTCGCATAACCGTCAATCATCTTATTCTTGCAAAAAAAAAAATTGTTGTCATTAAACGTTTTCGTGTAGTTACCTTTCAATCTCGAATGAATCAGAGTTATTCCCGAGACTTCTTTTTCGCACCGCGATTGTCATCCTTTTTTTGTTATCATCGAACGATTCTTTTTTACTTGTTTCCAAATTTACAGCACAATCGTTCGTTTGATTTTTTTCCAGCTATGTCTTCTATTGACCCAAGTTTGCAAGGTGATATGGTTCAAGCAATATGCATTTGATTATCTTTACAAGAAGTTGGACGTTTCGTGATCTTGCATGCTCCAATTTGAGGGGGGATGTTGAGATATATGAAGAATATTATGAGATATATCATATCATAAAGATCTTTTCAAATCTGGAAAATAGAGATTTTGAGAGATTTATGAATATTTGATGTAATCTCTACTTTATTTATTTAATTTGAGGCTCTCATGTATTTATAGTTCATTTGATTATTAATAAAAGATCACATCATTCCGCAAATTTCTACATGTGTCAATGTAAGATATAACTAGAAAAAAAAATTGTCGTTTTTTTGTTATCATCGAATGATTCTTTTGTGTGTATTACCAAAGTTACAATGTAGTCGTTTGTTTGATTTTTTTTCCAGTTACGTCTTCTATTGACACAAATTCCAAGGTGATGTGGTTCAAGCGGCATGCATTTGATCATCTTTTCTACAAGTTTGCGTTTCATGATCTCCACATTCCAACTTGAAGGGAGATGTTGAGATATACCGGATCTTGAAGAATATTACGAGATATATCGTATACTGGAGATCTTATCAAATCCGAAAAATATATATTTAGAAATATTTATTATTATGTCTACTTTACTTATTCAATATAAGACTCTCATCTATTTAAAAAAAATTATCGTTTTTGTTTTTTGTTATCATCGAACGATTCTTTTGTGCAATTGCCCAAGTTGCAGCGCAATCGTTTGTTTGATTTTTTTTCTAGTTATGTCTTCTATTGACACAAATTCCAAGGTAATATGGTTGAAACAGCATGCGTTTGATCATCTTTTCGGCAAGTTTGATGTTTGTAATCTCCACGATCCAACTTGAAGGGGGATGTTGAGATATACCGGATCTTGAAGAATATTACGAGATTATATCGTATACTGGAGATCTTATCAAATTCGGAAAATATATATTTAGAAATATTTATTATTATGTCTACTTTACTGTTGGTTTAGTGCTCTATGATGTACTGTTTATGAGCTTTATTCAGATACATTTGATGTATTGATACTTTCCACAGGTTTTATGAGAGTATTTGATTCATTACATGTTCTTGTATACTAGATGTGTTATGAAATCCATGTATCATTA